TATGATTGTTTAATTCCGCTCTGGTAAACAGAGGCATCTTCTGAAGTGAGTAGCTCCACATACTAGATTCAGGGAACTTGACGGGAACATGTCGTTTAGCGGTGGAGTGTGAACTTGTGTTGTTTGCCGAGCGTAGTTGTTTTCGTTTAGAATAAAGATTATTGGGATCAGGATCAATGATGTTTTTATCCTTTCCGCTCTTGATGTATTAAAGGACCCTAAAGTATATGAAATTAGGTCAATTTAAGTGTAAGTAATCACAATTGACAATTTTCTCAAGCAATCAAAACACCTCGAAGTATGCATCTTGTGCTCGAAACTAGCCTTTTCACAAGCTCTGCTTTTGTCTTTAAACCTTTCGCTGGGTTACCTCTACCCTTCAACCATAGTCTCAAGTCCTCAGTCTTGAATTGCGAGAGATTTCTATCTCCTAAGGAAGCTCCAAGAATGTCATTTTCGGTTAAAAAGCTCGAGGAATTGTGAGAGTTTGTATTCGCGTCGCCATGTGTTGCCCGGGTGGCCTCGCTTTCGTGAAATTATTCATAACCAGTCTCATACCTCAATCGGATTTTCCGCCATTATGCCAAAGGTGTATGGCGCGAAACTCTTCCCTTCGGGAATTATCGGCTGACGATGTAAAATGTGCAATTCAGCGGAGGGTGCTTATTTACCCTGTTGATAACCTAGTGTCTAAAACGTTTTGTTTTTACTTTTTAATATATTTTGCCTTGAAAATAGCATATTTTTTAAAAGTAAAATAACGGAAAGAAAATAGATCAACACCTAAACATTCAAACTTTTTAACGTTTTTTTTGGAGTAAATTTCATACTGGAAATGTTCTTCGTTTTGAAAATAGAGTAATTCGAGACAAGAATTGCATTCTGTTAGGGCAATATCCTCTATTATCATTTGCACCCATTCCATTTTTTTTTCTGGGTAGATATTACGATCAAGATATGGACTGATCCAAAATAAAGGCAGTTATTCAAATCAAAAGCTGACGCATAATACTTAATGACGAATAACTACAGGGAAGAAAGTGATACTCCCTGGAGCAATCTGAACAACGGTATACGAGGCCGGGGTAAATGTTGCAAGGTGGTGTAATTCGGAAAAAAAAGAATGGGGAGTAAAAGGTATGAATTACGTCCAATCAAGAAGGAGGAAAAAATACAGCTGTTTGTTTGTACTGGCGTCCGTAAGTTTTATTTTTAAACAAAATTGTTTCGAAACATGCAACGTCGAAAAATTATGAATTGGCCTGTTTATGGAATAAGATCAAAAAAAGAAGCGTAATATCAATAAATGTCAAGATTCTCCGACAATGTGTTTGAAAGCGGTACTTGCTCTCACAGACAGCTTTAGTTTTGGCGGAATTCACTGCATATGTTTGTTAACACTGAATTAATACCAGAGACGGTTACCTTCCAACCTCTGCGAAGAACTTATTTCACCATCCGATTTAGTAGCTGATACTACAATAAGATCGCGCTCCGTTTTACGTGTGTGTAATAGTTCTTGTTTTAATTGGAAACAAAATTGTTCTCTGCTTTATTTAACATATTCCATTAAATATGTTTGAGGGTATGTGTGATACATTTTTTAAAAGCACGAGGTTTTGGCGTGTTATGTGTGGGAGGATGCAAAATTGTGTGTTGCGTCACAGTGAGGGGCATGTGTTTTCTTCAATTACCAAAAAAATTGCGAACGAACTAAACTTTTGTATTGATTCTAATGGCACACAAATAACAAAATAGTTCAATTCTTAAATATGAAAGCCAATCAGAAACGTGTTTTATAACTCACCAACTGAAGAAGCTTGCAAATTAAAATCAATTTTATTTTCTGGTAAATGCATTCTTTCAAATTCCATAGTTTAATAGAAGCCTCTTGCCGGGAAAACATAACGCACGGTACAAGACACGAAATTTTCCTCAACACAAATTTATCCATTAGCAGTAAATACCAAGAGAGATCTCCTTGTCGTCATAAAACATAGCGAGGTTTCCTGGGCGGTGAAAACGGCTCTTCTTTGTCTTAGAATAGCAATTTACGTTTCAAAGATGCCTAACGAGTTGAAAGCTTTCGAGATATTATTCTGTTGTTTCGTAACTTTTGCTCCGGTTCACTAGTAGTTGAAGTAACCAAAACCTATCCATCTTTGTTTTATTTTCTATGGCAATCGCTCGTCGATAATAGATAGTTTATGAAAATTTTCCGAGAGAAAAAAAAAAATTCGGAGTTGGTTGACATTTAGGAGCTTTAGAACTATCAAATAAACCGGAAAAGCCTCAAAAGTTGTCGATGTTTATTCCTCATTGAGAAATATCAAGAGAATATATTCGCTTAGAAAGAACTTTTCATAAAATTTATGTTTCTAAATCGCACTTTACAACGTGACGAAATCAATTCATTGATTTTGCAAGGAAAAATTAATAACTTTTAATGAAATAATTAAACAGCTCAGTATTTCACAACTACAAATTTTTATCTATAAGTACAGAGACTTTTGAAGTGACAATAAATAAGACGTTTTTATGTCACAAAAGACGATGTTTTGTCCGATATCCGGTGTCGATAGAACAGTCAAGAAAGCAGCAAATACTCTTCTGCTTTAAAAAGTTAATTCCAAGTATAATGCGTGTCACCGCGCCGGGAAATCATCTGCCATTTCAAATTGATTT